TTGGCAATAGAACTGGACCACTCCCCATTCAGACTCAGGCCCTTTCTAGCCAACCCGAAGCCCAGATCTAGTCCCCTTCTCCCATAAGGTCCAAGGGTCTCACCTGCACAGCATCTACCGTGCTGCGAAAGACAGGGTTATTAAACTTGACCCCACGCCAGTACCGCGGCCGCTGAGGGCTGAGGAGGTTGCGGCCATATTTCTCCAGGATATTCAGGGCCGTGGACAGAGTATTGAGGTAGATTCGGGGCTGGGAGCAGAGAGCAGACCTGTGAGCCTAGCTCTGGCCTCAGGACCTATGTCCTCCTCCCGAGCTGGGTTGGGAGAGCCTGGTCTCACCTCCCCACGGGCGTTGCAGCGGACCAGGCGTGTGGCGTCCAGCTGCAGGTAGCGGGCGGCTGGCGGCAGGGAGGTGACCAGTAGTGGCCGAAGCTGCTCCAGGGAAAATGTCTGTCCACAATCCCTCCTCAGGGCGCTCACCAGCTCCTTGCGGGCAGCCAGGAAGGCTTGCTCCTCCTCCCCGGGCATCCCGAGATAGGAGTCGGCCCCAGCCTCGCCGCCCGCCAGGACCCGGAGCAGTGTGCGCGAGGCCGGAGAGCCACCCCTCGCGCCTGACGTCGGACTCTGCGGCCTGACTAGCTCCCCGCAGCCTCCGGTATCACTCAAGCCTCGGTCACTCTCGGGTCTCCGGCCCAGGGCCAGGGGTAGTCTGGAACAGGAAGTACTGGGGAAGAGGGCGGGACTGCCACCCCTTTCGGAGGAAGAGGAGGGATTTAGTAAGGAAGGAGGACGTCGGGAAACGACAGGGCGCGGCCTAGAAGGGTAACAGGGTTCCAACCAATGAAGAAGTAAATCGCCAGGCTCCTCCCTCAGCACCTCCCAGCATTTTTCTCAAATTTAAGAGTCCTTCCCCGCCTTTCTGCAGGCTGATTCCGCTCCTTCCGGGTAGCCCTAGGCCAGGGGTTAACCTATTTCGCTCACAGCAGTCTTCTATCCCGCGCATTCTGCTACGCTCCGGTCCCCACCGGGGGATTCCAACCTGCCGGGGACCCGATTCTGACCGTCCCCTCTCCTGTTTTTTCTCAAGGCAAGGCGTCCTCTCCGCGCCTGCTCTCTTCCACATCCTGCTAGCCCGCCTCCGCCCCAGACCCTCTCTCTTACTATTCTGCTCACTCGCTCGGATCCTCCTCCGTCCTCCCTTCGGAGTTGAAACCTCTCGGGCGACCCCAGACACCGGATACCCACTTTCCCTTCTCCCACCCCTCTCCAACCCTGACTTCCCCGGGACTGCCCTCGTCCTAAGCCCCGCCCCTCTCCGAGGAACATCCCCAGTTCCAGTCTCCGCGCCCCCACTCTAGTCCCTCCCTTGGACAGCCCCTGAGCTTGCGACCCAGGCAGCACCGCCCCTCCTAGTGGCAACTGGCTGGGAATGGCTGAGGGACTACCTACTTTTTGCAGCCCCACAGAGGGTGTGTGTGTGGGAGGGGGTAAGCCGAAAGGGGGCGGGACTGAGGGGGGCGGGCCTGGACACTGGGAGTGAAAGCGAAAGCCGGGGCTAGAGTCCCGGAGATCGAAGATTTGGCAACTGGAGCAACATGGCCAAGCCTTGTGGGGTGCGCCTGAGTGGGGAGGCCCGAAAACAGGTAACCGGGAACCGGAAACCAGGACGGGGACGGGGGGACGGGGAACCCTTCTAACGGAGGCCAAGCTGGGTGCTCTAGGGGACCGAGGCCATGCCAGAGAACTCCCCCAACCTGTCTGTAGTGCTTTCACTTCTGTACGGTAATTTCCAGATTCCTGCCCTTTCACCACTTTCTGTACTGGAGCAGGGATTTCCAAGGAAAACTGGTTTGTGGAAAAGGCCATAGCCACAGTTGGATGGCAACCCTTTGGGGCTGGGATCTTACTCTTGACAACTGAAAAACTCTTAAACTAATATCCGGGTACTGCTGTCTGCAGGTGGATGTCTTCAGACAAAATCTTTTCCAGGAGGTAAGACTCTGAATTCAAGTGATTTGGCCCAGAATCTTAGAGCAATACTTGAGTGTCACAACCCCTCAGTGACCCCGAATCCACCCTAGACTTGGTCCCTATTTTCCTTACCAAGTCTACACCCAGGATGAACTCTTAATTATTGATTTCTACCTTTAATTTGACCCTCTAAGAATTCTTCCCCCACTTTCCTCCCCTCTTTTGATGGGGAGGGAAAGGCATGACCCTCAAAGCAGGAACACCTCAGTCCTAAACTTGGTTCTAACACTTACAATCATGGGCAAGTCCCTTCATTTCCAACATTTCAGTTTCCTCATTTGTAACTCAATAATTTCCAAGGGCCTGTCCAGTTTCACTTTTCACACATTTCACTGATGGTCTTCTATGGTTCCCCAAACTTGCAATGTAACCCACAGGCTGAGGAATTCCTCTACAGATTCTTGCCACAGAAAATCATGTACCTGAGTCAGCTTTTGCACGTGAGTAGTGTGGGTCCCTTCTGCCCCATCCTGTGGCCTCTCCTTTCTGCACACCCTCTTTAACTATCAACTGGGTTCAGCGCACAGAGAACAATTGTGAGTTGTGGATTGAAAGTATCAGAATGGTGTGAAAGGCCTGAGCCTAGATTGCAAAGCAAAGGGCAAATGTGTAGAGGGAAGGCTATGACTTAGGGTGAAGGGAAGAGGCTGGGCAGCACTGACACTGAACTCTGTGCAGGAGGACTCCCTCAATGTGGCTGACCTGACCTCCCTCCGGGCCCCTCTGGACATACCCATCCCAGACCCCCCACCCAAGGATGATGAGGTGAGGCACCCAGGGTACAGGGTTTAGACTATAAAGCCAACTGAGCTGATAGCCTTTTGGCCTCCATGACTTTTCTAAAGAAAGCTTCTTTACCCCGTTCTTGCCTTAGATGGAAACAGATAAGCAGGAGAAGAAAGAAGGTAATGGAGGAAGGGGTGATCAGGGAAGGGGAAATGACACACTGACTACTAGAGGAGAAAGGGCCCAAATCCCTTCTTTCTCACAGTACCCAAGTGTGGCTTTCTCCCCGGGAATGAGAAGGTCCTGGCCCTGCTTGCTCTAGTTAAGCCAGAAGTCTGGACTCTCAAAGAGAAATGTATTCTGGTAAGCCTGGGAACTGGGAGAAGTGGGAAGAGAAAATAAATATCTCCTTCAGAGATGCAAGGCCTTCATCCAGAGACCTAGTCCCAAACAAAGAAACTTCCTTCTGTGCTTTGGGTTTAGATCCCCTTTGTTCTAATTCTGTTAGACCTTTGCTATTACAGTAGCACTCTTGAAATCTGAGACTGCTATATCCACTCTATAACCTCATATTGTACTGCTGTATCAGGTACACAGTGGAGATGATGGAATAGAGTGAATTGGTTTAAAGGTGTGGATCCTAGAGGGAATCTGGGTTCAAATCCTTATTTTTTCACTTACCAAGTTGATAACCCTAAGTCACTTAGACATTCTGTAACTTGGCAGGGGGGCAGGGGAGACATTCTGCGACTCTGGTGTTTTATCTGTTAAATGAGTATAATAAGAATATATAAGTTGGGCTAGACATAGTGACTCCTAGGGAGGTTGAGACAGAATAATCACAAGATAGAGGCCACCCTTGGTCACTTAACAAAATTCTCTCTCAAAAATAAAAAATAAAAAGGGCTGGGGATATACCTCAGTAGTAGAGTGCCCTTAGGTTGTATCCACAGTATTGCAAAACACACACACAAACACGCACGTGACAATTAAAAATTAAATGAGATAAATAATTTATAGCACAAAGCCTGGCATATAATCAGTGCTCAATTAAATAGAGCTGTTATTAGAAAGTGGCATAAGAACCCAGTAGGTTTGTTGAATGATTCTTCCTCTTAATGTAGGTGATCACTTGGATCCAGCATCTGATCCCTAAGATTGAGGATGGAAATGATTTTGGGGTGGCAATCCAGGTAAGAAAAGGGTGACTGAGGACACAGAAAGGAAACTTGGGAGACATAGGAGTTATGCATGAATTAGGTGGAAAGGGAGCTAATGAAGGAGATAGGAGATGAAGTATTCTCTTTGCCTCCCATGTCACCACAGGAGAAGGTGCTGGAGAGGGTGAATGCTGTGAAGACGAAAGTGGAAGCCTTTCAGACAACCATTTCCAAGTGAGGGCTGCTGCATGAAAGGCTGCAAGGACATTCATTTGGAACTGCCAAAGCTAGGCAGTCCTATCAGGGTGATGGGAGATTCTGGGAAGGGGATTTGAATATATCTCCCTGAACACAATCTGTGTTATATCCTTTGCTTGTGACAGGTACTTCTCAGAACGTGGGGATGCTGTGGCTAAGGCCTCCAAGGAGACCCATGTAGTGAGTGCATAGCCCACCAGTCTTTTAGCTGACTGACTATGGGTGGGACTGGAGGTGGGTGGGAAGAGGTCTTCTTCATGACTTTCCCAATGTGAAGAATATTAAATCAAAATATTTCTTTTAAAAAAGTAATTACAAAAATTAACAAAGAAAAAAACCCTGTCCCCTAAAAATTTAAGAAAAAATTACAGAAGAAAGAAAAAGCATTGCCTAGTTTGGGCTTCCACAACCATGACATTTTCTTCTGCCTTATCCTATGGGATACCCTTCCTTGGTGCTGAGTAGAAGCTTATCTTCAAGTTACCTATTCCCTATTTGAGGAAACCAAACTGATAATCCAGCCTCCCATGGGACTGACTCAGCTTTGCCTCCTGTATCCCAGATGGATTACCGGGCCTTAGTGCATGAGAGAGATGAGGCAGCCTATGGGGAGCTCAGGGCCATGGTTCTGGACCTCAGGGCCTTCTATGTGAGTGTGGAATAGACTCCTAAGGGAGGTGGATGGATGGGGTGGTGCTGGAGGCTAAGAACCTAACTCCTGCTTTTCTGCCCTTCCTGCAGGCTGAGCTTTATCATATCATCAGCAGCAACCTAGAGAAAATTGTCAACCCAAAGGGTGAAGAGAAACCATCTATGTACTGAGATGGAAAATAAATGACCTATACTGTGTGATTACCTGTGGTGTGTCATTGATTTGAAGCACATTCATTGAGTGCTGAGGTGAATGTGGTGGGAATGGGAAAAAGTACCAGGAAGACAAAAATGAATTAGATGCTCATTTTCTTCTTAAGAGGTCTTCTTAAAGAACAGGGTGGAAATTGTTATATGCCATGCAGATAATCCACATTTTGGAGTATCAGAGTTATTTCCATCTAGTGGTCTTATGAATGTTTCATGGTAAAAACACACCTGAACAGAGCCCTTACAGAAATAATCAAGTTTTAGATAGATGGGAAAGCTCTGTGGCTGAGGTCCAGGAATACAAACCAAATGAAAATCCTTAGCTCATAGCAAGCCTGGAAAGAGAATGTTGTTTCCCTGGGAGGATTAAGGGCGAATAACTGAACTTCTTAAGGGCTGGCAGAGGGGGAAAGTCCTTCAAAGCCATTGTGATAAAGTTAATGTATCACAGATCATTATGAGAACAATGATTTGTAAAGTTTGTTATGTTTTGTTTTTTTGGTCCCTTTTACCCGATTTCAGCTATTTGCTTTCTTTGTAATTGCCTTTTGGTATTCAGCTCTGAAAAGGTGGTAGAGACAAGGATCCTCTGCTGTGATCTTTGCTATAAACTCCATAGGACTGTTCTTTAACCTAGGGCTTTGTCCCGTTTTTTTTTTTTTTTAATGTTTATATTTTAGTTATAGGTGGACACTATCAATTTTTATGTGGTGCTGAGGATCAAACCCAGTGCCTCACGCATGCTAGGCGAGCGCTCTACCTTTAAGCCACAACCCTAGACCCCTTGTCCCGTTTTAAAATATGGAATAAGAATGCTCCATAGCATTTGACAGTTTGGAAGTCCATCTATATCTACGTCTTTATATATCTCATTTATAATAGGAGCAAGGGAGTCGGCTTTTTCCCCACCTTCAAAGATCCTCTGTTGCCTGATTGCGGGCACCCAGCTAGTTCTGAGGGGATCATTGGAGAGATAACAGGTAATCCGCAGAGCCAACCAGCAATCAAGAGCAAAAGTCGGATAACCCAGCCAAGAAGCGCGTGGTTTCCTTTCTTTCACTTCTGCGCATTACTTCCTCCTCGCCCGAGGCAAGGGCGGGGCAAGACTCGAGCGCGGTCGTTGATTGGACAAAACGAGATCCTGTAGACCTATCAAAGAGCGGAACTTGGGCGGGACTCAAGCGTGTACTTCTAGGAGCCGGCGCGGACCTGAGCCTGTCGCTAGGGGCCGAGAGGAGGAGCTTGGCGTGGCGGGATGCGACCGCGACCGCCTTCTCCGCCACGCTGGGGGCGGGCTCCCGACCTAGATCTCCCTGAGTCCATCGGCTGCCTTCCAGACGTGTCATCATCACGGTCAAATCTAAGTGATAGGGCACCGGGAAAGGCCAAGCTCGCCTGCGCGGGGTGGAGAAATCACACTAATCCGGTTTCCTGCGTCCCAGCAGGTCCCGCTTGTCATGGGGGAGGTGGAAATCTCGGCCCGGGCCTACGTGAAGATGTGCCTGCACGCGGCCCGGTACCCGCACGCTGCGGTCAATGGACTATTGCTGGCGCCAACGCCGCGGGCTGGAGAATGTCTGTGCCTCACCGATTGTGTGCCCCTTTTCCACAGCCACCTGGCCTTGTCCGTCATGCTGGAGGTCGCCCTCAACCAGGTGTCACTACGGGGCACATATCCCCAACCCCGACCCTCTGGCTAGTCTCCTAACACCATTAGCTCAAGTCCATGCCCAGCCCCTTGGCAGCAATGCGCACCCACAGAGCCAGCAGCATGGTTTAGTTACTGATGGCTCCTTTCCCACGACAGGTGGACGTGTGGGGCACACAGGCCGGTCTGGTGGTGGCTGGGTACTACCATGCCAATGCAGCTCTGGATGACCAGAGGTGAGTGGGGTAGTCAGAAGTAGAAGGCAAAGGATTATGGAGATTGTGGGTGGGATGCAAATGAACTAATGTCATTCATTCCATCTTTCTTTCATCAAATGCTCAGGAGCAGGGTCTGTACATCAGGTACTATGCTGGATAGTAGAGTAAGGAGATATAAAGATAAATAAGACCTTCCCTGGAGGGGCTGCCACATGGGTGGGAAGGACAACTGTGTTTCAACAAGATGGGGCTGATCTTGCTTTAACTGAGGTGTCACCCAAGTGCTGCAAGAACACAGAGGAACCCTAACCAGCAACTTAGAAAAAAAACCCTTGATATATGTAATTATATATATGTGTTTATATATATACATCACATATATAAATCAAGTTAGAAATACTGTTTTCTAATTTGCCTTTCTCCCTCACTTAATAAATATTTGACATCTTTTGATCTCCACACCAAGATCTGCTTTAACACAACCGCTATAGTATGTGAATATGGATATACCATAATTTATTTAAACATTGAGGTTATCTCCATGTTAAGAATTTTCTATTACTACACTTTTTTTTTTTTTTTGTGGTGCTGGGGAATGAACCCAGGGCCTTGTGCATGCGAGGCAAGTAGATATACCAACTAAGCTATATCGCCAGCCCCTACTACTGTTAATTCTTTATAAATCGACTCTCTTGGTTAGCATATGCTAAATATTACACTTTCAATTTGGATGGTTTATGCCAAATTACCCTCCAAAAGACCACATTTGATTTCTGCTCTCACCAGCAGTGTCTGAGCACCTGTTTCCCACAGCACTCAAGCATCAAGCAATCCTTCATCAAGCATCCAGCAGGCCCATCCCCCTCAGGCCAGCTACAGGGAAAGTCCACAACTACAACCGCATCTATGAGACCTGGGAAGCCCAGCTCAAATGGATGGGGTCTACCCACAGTTGGCTGCTCACTCTGATCTTCCCTCTACACAGCCCTGGGCCCCTGGCCTTGAAAATTGCTGGGCGAATTGCAGAATTCTTTCCTGATGCAGTACTTATTATGGTGAGGCTTGGGTTTCAAGATGGGGAGGTGGAGAGAGTCAGGAAGGAGATCCTTGAAACTCTTATCTGCCCTTCTTTGTCTACCCAGTTGGATAATCAGAAACTGGTTCCTCAGCCTCGAGTGCCTCCAGTCATCGTCCTAGAGAACCAAGGTCTCCGCTGGGTCCCCAAGGACAAGAACTTGTGAGTGCCCCACTCCCTCCACCTCACCTTAGAAGCCCAAGGTTCCTGGACCTTCTCTGTCCTTGGTCTTTCTCTGTCCTTGGTCTTTCTTCTTCTCAAAACCCAACTTCTCTTAAGTCAGTGTCTGGCCCCACTGTCCTGCTGTTTGACTTCAGTGGGGTTTTCTATTTCAGAGTGATGTGGAGGGACTGGGAAGAGTCACGGCAAATGGTGGGAGCACTACTAGAGGGCCGGGCCCACCAACACCTTGTGGACTTTGACTGCCACCTTGATGACATCCGGCAGGATTGGACCAACCAACAGCTGAACATCCAAATTACCCAGTGGGTTAGTTCCACAAATGAAAATGTCTGAGCTAGGACCAGAGGGTTCAGGATCCAATAAAGAGACTTGGGCTGGTGGGCAACAGTATGACTATATTTATTGTGCCTGGGAGGCAAAGTGAGGAAGAAACCTCAATGGTAGGAAGGTAAGGGAAAGTCTGGGATCCCTGGTAAAAAGCAGGAAGGTCTCTGCTGTACTCATCACAGAATGAGAGAGAAGTCTCTCAATAGATCATTCCCTTTGTTTCTCCTCGGGGCTTCTTGAGCTTCTCAAAGTTCTTCAGGATGATGTCATATAACACAGCCTATAGGGCCAGAGAGGAGTGAGGGTAAGTCACAGGCCCTCAGTGGTTCTGTACCTCACTTCTAGCCTGTGGAGAGGCCAAACTTTTGTCATTGTTGACACTTAGCCTGCAAGGTCAGGGAGTAGATGACCTAGGAAAGGGGTCTGCCCACCCCTGCCCAGCCTTCGCCCCCTCACATAAGCATTGCGGATCTCCATGACCATCAGCCGAATGTCCCGGTACTCTGCTTCATCCAACTCATGGACCAGCTGCCGATAATCACCCTGTGGAAACTCAGGGTCAGACCTGATTTGAAATGTGTACTTCCCCCATGCACCCTGACCTGGATATCACCTACCACATGGGGCTGTTTAGCTGCTTTGGTAACTGCATCACCACGCTCAGAGAAATACCTGTGGATAGGAGTATTATGTATGGAGTGGAAGAAGGAGAAAGCCCAGGCCTCTTTCCCCAAACAAACAGAGTGTGTACAAGGGTGCAGGTGGCTGGTCACTTACTTAGAGATTTGAGTGTGGAAGCCTTCCAGCTTGGTGTGAAGGCTAGTCATCAGCTCAAATACCTTCTCCTAGGGAAAGAAAGCATGGTTGTGGGTGTGTGGGGGTGGTAGGGAAAAGATATACAAGTTATACAGGAAGATTGGGGGTAGGGTGATGCTCTTACCTGGACAGCCACTCCAAAATTATTCCCATCCTCAATCCGAGGTATCTGTAGCTGCAACCATGTAGTGACCTGGAGGGAGGGAATAGCATCAAAACCACATCAGCTCACATCCAATCCCAGGTTCCCATCTTCCCTAGCCTCCTTCATTTGCTGTGTCCTCTCCTGCTGAGACCTAGCAAGTGCCATGCCCTAACTGTTGGACCAAGAGCACAAAGGGTTTCACATGAAGGCAGGAGGGTAGAAGTGGGAGGGCTCACCAGGTTGAGTTGCTCGATGACATCCTTGATTTCAGGTTTCAGACGTTGCAGGAGGACCACAATCTTCTCATTGCAGTTCACTGGGCCACAGGGAGGACCTAGAAAGTGAGCAAGGGGTCAGTTACATGGCAGCCTGTGTGGAAAGGAATCCTTCGGAAGGAGCTCCTGCAGCTTGGGACCCAACTCTTTTTCACTACATAAATTTCAAGTACCTTTGTCTTCATCTTCCCCTTTCTTCTTCTCATCCTTATCTTCCTTCTGTAGGGAAAGAAGGGCTCTTTGGAGACAGGACTAAAGCTGATGATTTTCCCCATGGTTAGGCCCCTCCTCCCAGGTCTCCTAGCTTGCCTCCAGCTGTTTCTTCCGTTCCTCCTTCTCTTTGTCCTTGACTGGATCAGGCACTGGGATGTCCAAAGGGGCCTTCAAATTGCTCAGGTTGACTTCATTGAGAGCTGGTTCCTGGGTGCAGGGTTGGAGGAAGACTGGAGATGAGGATATCCCTCTCAAGGCCCACCAGACTCTCCTCTTGGCCCCCACTCTCTAGTTCCCTGCCCTGATACCTTTAAAAATGCATCCAACTCAGAAATCTTCTTGGGGAAATAGCTCCCGAGCAGGTTCTCTGTCTGTGTGTGAGGTGGGGGTGGAGGAGGATGGGGTTCAGATTCAAATGCCTTTACAAGGCAGTGAGGCTGGGGTGACACTGCCCAGCAAGGGATGGCTGAGCAGCAAGAACTGGGTAGAGAAGGGTTGCTGATGGGGCAGGTCTTACCTTGGTACACAGGTCTTCACGAAACACATCCACCTGTGGGGCACAGGCAACACTTCAGAAAGGGTGGCTTAAGGCCAATGTATTTGGTCACAGTTAGAGTTGTGTGAGAGATGGAGTGGATCCCTCCAAAGTGACACCTGAAGATGGAGGATGGGTCCCTGTGAGGGTGGACTGGAGTGGTGGAGGAGGGGATCTCTGCAGACCTGGATATGGGGAGGGTGAAGTGGATCCCTGTGAAGCTGGATTTGGGGGATGAGAACATTCCTGGCAGTGAATGGTGACTGGTTCATTTGAGAACATCCCTGGGGTCCCCTGGGTTGTGTGAGGAGGAGTGTGAAGAGAGCCCTCTGTCAGTGGGCTGGGACGGAGTGTCCCACAGAATGAGATCTGAAGCCCTTTCTAAGGGAAAGACTGCGGTGGCAAGGGCAGGTCTGGCGCCCCAATTGTGTGTGGCCCCGGGGTTCTGGGCCAGTGGACTTCCCCTCCTGTCCTATTCTCTGCTTCACCTCACTCCGCTGAAGCATGGCCACCTAGCCTCTCCCTGGGGTCAGGTGCTTGCGGCACGTAGCCCCCACACAGGTGGCGGCTGGGCAGAGGGCCAGGGGCCGGGGGCGGGTCAGGGGAACCCTCAGCGTCTCCGAGCCACGCCTCCCCAGTGGCCTGTGCTCCAACCCGCGGCGCTCACCTTGGCTTGGGCTTCAGGCTGGACCCTGAGTGTGGCCATGGCCGGGGCGAGGGGCCTCGCGCCGCACGAGGAGCCGGGAGTGGGCACCGGGAAGGGAAAGCGAAAGCAGAGCTCGCTCGCAACCCGCACGGCCTTCCTGGGTACTGGGGAGTGGAGGGACTGGAGGAGGCGGGGACTGCCCGGGAGTGGGGCGGGGCGGACCGCGCAGGAAGGCAGCTGAGGCTGGGCTCCCCCTAGAGCCCAAAAGGAGTGCTTCCTCCCGATTCCTCCGCCTCTCCGCCCTGCTCTGGTTCCCGCCTCCAAGGCTGGCCTTCCAGTCTCGCATCTCCGCCCGCCTCTCAGTGCCAGCCTTCTGCCTCCGCCCCTCCAGCCTCTCTCTGCCCCGGCCTCCCATCTCCCTTCCTCCGCTACCGGCTCTGTTCTTCCCCTGCTCGGCCTGGAACAATAAACCTTATTTGATGTTCTTCTATTTTTTTTTTTTTTTCTAAAATGGAACAAAACCTGGCATCTCTTCTCTAGCCTCTCCAGTATGGTCCCCTGGCTATATGGGCATCCTCTGTCCCACCAATCCATATTCAGACATTGGCACGATGCCTACTCAAGCCCTTATCTGCTCCCCTCGGGACCGGAGCTGCAGGCTCCATTCCTCTATGACCTGCTCTCGCAGAGCAACAGGTTTGCGTCTCTCTAGATGAAATGCAAAGGCCCTACCTGACACTTGTCTCCCCTTCAAGTTCACTTTCTATTTCTTTCCGCCTCATTCATTACACTTGCAAATACTTGGGTTTTTCATTTGTCTTTCAAAGGCCTCTTGTTCATTTCTGCCTCGGATAATTTGCCCTTGAGAAACCCTTTGCCTCAAACACCCTTCCCTTGGATGTTGACATTCAATTCTCAGATCAGCTGTTTCCTCTTCAAGGAGATCTTTCTCCATTATCCCTTATAAAGTACTTCTCTCCAAATTTCTGTTATAAATCAGTGTTCTAGTGCCTTCACAGCACTTATCTCTGATATTAGCCAGTTTGTGGTGTGTGTGTGTGTGTGTGTATGTGTGTGTGTGTTTGTGTGTGGTTAAGAGAGGGTAATGTAGTGGTTTAAACTAGGGCTAAGCAATCTTTTTTTTTTTTTTTCCTGTAAGAAATGAGATGGTAAGTATTTCAGGCTTTCTGGGCCTTACTGTGTCTGTAGCAACTACTCAATTCTGCCATTGTAACAGAAAAGCAGACTATATAAATGAATTAGTGTGGCTAGGTTCCAATAAAAATTTATGGACACTAGAATTATAGTTTTATATAATTTAAATGTGCCATGAAATGTTATTCTTTGATTTTTTTAGCCACTTAAAAATGGAAAAATCAGATGCAGCCATACATGACTGCAATCTCAGCCGCTAGGGAGGATGAGGCAGGAGGATCAAAAATTTGAGGACAGACTCAGCAACTTAGCAAAGCTCTGCTTTAAAATAAAAAATGAAAGGGTGTGTGTAGGTCAGTGGTAGAGCGCCCCTGGGTTCAATCCCCAGGTAGTTGGGGGAGCCGGAAGTAAACCACTTTTCGTTCGCAGGCTATACAACAACTGGCCACAGGAGGGCAGTAATTGGTTAATCCCTGGTTTAGGGCACAGCCATTGCACCGTTATTGCCTGGGTTTCTATTCCTGTCTGCTCAGTATCTGTGAACAAATTACCTAGCCTCTGTGCCTGGGTTTTTGCAATTGTGAAAGAGGAACATTACTAAATCAACCTGATAGTGTTGTTGCGAGGACTAAATGCATTAATTTATATAAAAACTTATAGACATTTAGACATTGTTAAATAAATGAGCACAGAGATGCCCTATGAGGAAGACAGAGATAGGAAGTGTTCCTTTATGGGGTCCCCAGAGAGGCAGCCCCTTGAGGATAGTGGAGAGGAGATTTAGTGGAGAAATTAGAAAAAATAAATAAATTAGGCTGGAGAGAAGCACCTACTCAGGGAGGGTGATATACACACCCAAGGACACTATCACCTGCCTTAGCAGCACCATCCCTTGAAACCACAGCCTCAGAGAGCCAGAAGTCTGCAGATCAGGAGACTGAAAGGACAGCAGGAGGAATAGAGATAATGTACAAAGAAGGATATTCAAGGCTGATGACAGAAGGAATGGTTGAGGAGCCCCAGTGACTATCAGACCCCTTTCTTATCCTTACCAGGACCCAAAGGAACAATGAAAGGAGACAGAGCTAGGCCTGATGTGCCTTTATTTCTTTCAGTTATGCTTGCGGCTAGAGCGGGGGTGAGGGAAAAGCCCATGGCCTGGGCTCCCTGGAGACCAGGGCTGATGATACCAGCTACCATAGGTAAGGTACCAGGCAAAGGTGCCTACCGCGGCACCCACCACCTTGTGAGTGTACTGGTGGAAATAGATGACGGTACAGAGCAGCAAGAAGTTCCAGAGGCCCAGCAGCAGCACGTTGAGCAGGAAGACCAGGCGCAGGGGGGTGCCAGCAGGCAGCCCATGGGCCAGGTACTTGGCAAACACTGCTGCTTCCTCAGCCATAAGCAGGCAGCAGAAGGTGAGCAGGAAAGTGTGGGAAGAGACGGTGTAGCCCCGCCACTGGTGGCCTGCAGCCAGGCAGCTGCGGCGGTCAGGTAGCTCGTGAAGCAGCAGGCCCTGGGGCAGAGGCTCGAAGCAGGAACCAGTCAGGTCCTCGATGAGCAGGAAGGCCCGGCCGGCCCCCCTCCACACTGCTGCCCCCACCACCAGTCTGCTCAGGTGCCTGGCAGTCACTGCCACTCGCCGTGTAGCCAGGAACACCACCAGCAGCACAAAGCCCCCCAGGAAGGTGCATGTCCAGCCCCAGGCTGAATTCACAAACTTGCTGTGGGCAGAGAAGAGAGAAGGCTACTGAGACCCCCTAGCCTCAACTCCCCATCCTGGTCAGTGTTCCCATCATTGGTCTGTCCCCAGTTCTACACATCATCACTGGTTCTCCTGCCCATGTCCTTTATAGCCCCCAGCCATTTAAACGTCATTTAAACGTCCCTTTAGAGGACCACTGAGCATTCTAGGTCCACATTTCCTCTTCAGTTCTACTCCTGCCCCTGCCCTGTACCCCACACTGTCCCCTTCCCCCTCCCTCTGACCTTCTCCTCAACCTCCTATACTATTTTTAGAGTTCAGACTGGCAGCAGAACAGAAACCTAGAGAAAGGAGCCGGGTCCCATGCCCTTATGTGGACTCACATGTTGAAGAAGTTGCCGTGGCTGGCGAAGATAGTCCGAGAGTTGACATGGAACTGTAAAAGGGGCCCAAAGATGACCACCGCTGCCAACCAGGCATGGTAGAGGCGCCGTAAGCAGGGGCTTCCCAGAAGGCGGGCAGCCTGTTCACTTCCAAAGTACAGCAAGGCAGAGGCTACCCAGAGGAGCACCTTCACCAGGCAGCCCAGCAGTGCCCGGATTCGGGTCCCAGCCCCCGGCCCTGCCCCCACCACCGGCCCCCGCTCCATGTTCCCTCCCCTCCCCACTAACTGCCTGCTCTGCTGGGCAGCTGAGGAGGGGCTGATGGGCCCCCCTCCCCGCCGGGACAAGGACAGGCAGTGACAGGTGTGGCAGATACAGGGCAGAGCCTGTTGGCAGCCAGCAGGCGGGGGAGAGGGGCGGGGGGTAGTAAGGGGCCAGGGTGAAGGGCTGTCACGTCAGCAGGGTCCTGGCCTCGGGTGTGTGATAATGTGTGTCCTGACAGCAGCCTGAGTCCTTTCCTATTAGCCCAGTGTCCTTAGCTCCCTCCAACTACATTCTAATTCATGTCTCAGGACTAGGCCTACTGTTCAGGGCTGTCATGTCTACAGCCTGCTTGAGTGTGCCTGCCTTAGTTTGGTCATCCCAAATCCCTCTACTCTGTACTCGACTCCACAGGGAAATAAGAGGTCATGAAGTTAAAACTAACCAAATTTTAAAAGTCATTCAAACAAATCTGTGTCTGTCTTACTATCAGTATGGTCTAGTCCTTCTCCTGGGGTTCTGGGAAGCAAGGTGGGTGTGCACAACAGTGTCCCCTTCAGGTTGCAGAAAGCCTATCAACTGTGGTGTCCACTTCAGTGAACTGTGACCCCTGGACTGAGGGGGCTCTAAAGGGTTAATTTAGCCCAGGGCTGCTGTGCAAACCAATGGTTGTGCAATGAATGCACAAGGGAGCACATCTGATGGGGCACCATTTGTGTTTATGATGATGACATAGAAGAAATTCAAATGTTCTGAGAAAGGCATCTTGTGTGAAATGATTAGTAGCCCAGGTTAGACTCTCAGAACCCCAAAGATGAGGTTTATTCTCAGGTCACAGGTGACCCTAGAAAAAAAGAAATCCCCAGTCTGGACAATTCTTCAAAACATTAGGTTTACTCAGGTGTGATAGTGAATACCTATAATCTTACTGACTAGGGAGGCTTAGGCAGGAGGATGGCAAATTTGAGGCCAGCTTCAGCAATTTATCGAGGCTCTAAGCAATTAAGTGAGACCCTGACTCAAAAAAGGGTTGGGGATGTAGCTCAGTGGGGGTAAAGCACCCCTGGGTTAAATCCCTGATACCCCAAACAAAACAAATAAACAAAATCTTTAGTTTCAGTTGGATGTGGTGGTACAAGCCTATAATCCCAGTGATTTGGGAGGTTGAGGCAGAAGGATCCTAAATTAGAGATCAGACTCAGCAACTTAAATAAAAAATAAAAAGGGCTGGAGATCTAGTATGGTGGTAGAGTGCCCTTAGATTCAATCCCCAATACCAAAATCAAACAAACAAATAAAAACTTTAGGTTTTGTCCTCAACCAATTACCCTGAGCCTCAGGGTTGCCAGTCTGGGCCTCCCAAACCCACCACTGGGCTGGAGCAGCAAGAGAGCAACTGACCCAAGAAGTCGCTTATTTCAAGATCACTTTTTTTGTCTTCCTTCTTCATTCCTCAAAACTGATGGTGGGCTTTCAGAGCACAGTAGAGGCCCATGAGGCAGTGAAATAAATGAGCAAGAAAGGTTCCCCAGGTTGTGTCCTAACAGTGACTTTGACTTTGGGAAAATCTGCCAATCCTTCTCTGTATTCAGGGCCCTCAACTATAAATTGATCAAGATAGATTAGATAATCAGTGAAGTACCTTCCAAATCCTAAAATCCCAAACTTCAACAGAGTGGCCTTCATGTCTCTTTGCTCAGACACTATAAGAATTTTGAAGACCTAAAGACCTCCTCACACATTTTTTAAGTTGGACATGAAATGTTCCATCTGTGATTCTGAATAGTTGAAAAAGACATAGCTTCCAGTGTATTTTATCTGCTGACATTTGAAAATAAAGCTATCACTTTTCTTTTTCTTGCAGTACTGGGGATGGAACCCAGGGCTTCCATGTATGCTAGGCAAGTGCTCTACAACTGAATTATATCGCCAGCCCTATATCACTCTTTTAAAGGTGTCCAGTGGAATCTAAACACTACAGTAATGAAATATCTCATCATTATCCACTTTAAAAACGTGAGAAGATATTAAATCAGAGATCATATTTCTTTTCTATATTCCCCACAGAATTTATCTTAATGTTTTTATGCTGGAAAGTCTTTTATTGGCCATTTGTCATATTCTTTGCAAAAAAGCATATGATTTAAAATTTAATTAAAATTTTTTCCTGTGATCATGAAGTCCTAAAACTTTTTTCCTTCTGGACTGAATTTTCATTATAATTGTTAGTAGTACAAAATATACAATTAGTATTAAAAACAGTTTACACAGTTCAATAACAAAATTATACTGAAAATGCCTGAGAGGATGGATGGTCCCTGAGACCTTGATCAGATGAGGCTTTGGGGGTACTGATTTTAATTTGCCTCTTAATTTGGCACCCTGGAATTAACAGATTCTGGGTGAGCTGGGAGGGATCCTGGGGGTAAAGTGATGGAGGAGGACTGAAAGGGCAGGTGGGAAAGGAGATCTGGCATGATAGTTTCACACTAGGTAGATTAATCTAAGGAATAAGAACATGTAGAGGCTGAGGAACTGGACAGTTATCTTTTAATAGTATCTATTTGGGGCCAGGCATGATGGCTACTCCTGTATTCCCAGCTACTTGGGAAGCTGAGGCAGAAGAATCACTTGGGTCCAGGAGTTTGAGACCAGCTTGGGTAATGTGGTGAGACCTCACCTCACAACAAAAACACCATACCCATCTGGCTCTTAAATAGGTACCCCTTTTACCCTTTGCTGTGAGAACCCCTAGAAGTGTACACCTGGGTTTCCAAATTGCCTTAGAGAGCAAGACATGCTGTGGGGAAAGATCTTGTCAGAGCCAGATGTGAAACAATCTCACTCAGCCTTCAGTTTCCTCTGAGGCCTGAAGTTCTGAGTGGTAGGCATCCAGATGGGGTTTTCTCTGGCTCTGTGTTCACTCACCACCTCTTGTGAAGACTGGAGCAGCTCCAGAACAGAGCTATTCACAGTATTCCTGGGCTGTAACAAAAACTGTGCTTATCTTCTGCTGTCTCCTGGGAAGTTTCTGAGTTTGACAGGGAGACCCTGTTGCAAGGCTCAGTTAATAAACAATTTTAGCATTTTCTTTTCTCATAGGGTGTCAAAAGGAAGTTTTCTTCTACTGAGGAGCATACCTGAAGGCTTTGTTGAAACTGTTAAAGTGAGAGGATAAAAGAACTAGATATGAAAAAGAGACAGTGAGCAGAGACACTGAGCCAGGTTCCCACAGAGGATTTATTGAGGGAGCCAAAGCCAGTGAGAGGACAAAGGAGCCCTATTTCAACCTCCTTCCTTGAAGCTGCTGACCTCCAACATGACAGGACTTTCAGAAAGGTAGGGCCTGTGCCATGTGGGGCTGCATGAAACTTTTGGAGACCCCTGCCTCTCACATCACAGCCTGTCCAAATCCAAAGACCCAGGCAAGAGAGAAGACATAATCTTCACCCCAGGAGAGTGCTAAGGAAACACCTTTATCTATCCTGCCCTCCCCACCCCCTTAGACCTCAAGAAGAAAGGCCAGGACACCTGGCTCTCTGACTGGCCAATCTAATCCTCAATGTGAAGACCTGGGCAATGGGCCTGGCTGACAGGTTAATTTACACCTGTCCTCAGGCATCTATCTAGGAGCAAACACCTAACATCATAACATGATTAAAAACACTCAGGACAGTTCTCTTGCTGGCAGAAGTCCCACCAGACCCTGGCCAGAGATAGGAACCCAAGCCTACTGGGTGTGCATACATGAGAAGACCACCTGGCCTTGTGGGGTGGATCTTCCAGGGCTAGCCAAAAGCCTGGGCTTCCGTTTCTTGCCACCCAATTCCAGAGATTCCTCCAGACATTCCCCAGAAGAGAAAGAGGAGGAGAAAGAGGAAGAGAATTTGTTGAGAAGTTCACCCTGTAAGGAGCTGGACGTCTGATCTACTGGGGTGAGGAAAAGGCCGTACAAGAGCGGAGCACTGGGGTAGGGGCACTGGTGCGTTCCTCTGTCTCTGGCATGTCATCCGGGAAGTACTCAGCCTGGCGATACTGCCACAGACGCAGGTTCCCGTCCCACTGCAGGGCAGAAGGTACCAAGTAGTCAGGGGGTGCTGCCCCTTCCCAGGTCTAAGTCCCAGACATGTGCTGGTCCCTCAAACTTGCAACCTCACCGAACTGCTGACAATCTTCTCTTCAAAGGGGTGCCAACTGACATCACGCACACAGGCCTTATGGTTCGTTAGCTTCTTCACGATGTGGCCACTGAGGAGATCGTACACTGTCCGGGAAAGCCAGAGTGGAGAGGAGCTGCCACAGACCTTTAAGGCACCCATTGGCTCCCCAAAAGGTACCAATGACCTAACTCTTGGGCAACTTCCCATTTTCCCATGGGAATGGGGTTATTTTGGATTCCTTCCCCAGCTTAGGTTGAGGCTATGGTATGTTGGTATCCCTGATCCTCAGCTAAAATTCAAAGGCCTAACTTAAGAAAACAGTTGCCTTAAACCTCTTAGCAAGATACAGACAGTGGCAAAAGTGAATTCTGCACCTGCTTGTCCTTGGCTGGACAAGGTGCATCTCTCATTTCTGCATGGGTACCTACCTAGGTGCAGCATGCTGTCAAGCTTTTTCTATCTATAGTTCTGCTTGTGTTTCTTTTTGTGCATTCCTCCTGCTTCAGTGATTGCAAGTCCTTTGCTACTTGATGCTCTCTTTTTGTGTCATTCTTTTTGCCTGTTTCCTCCTACCTTTCATCTGTAACCCCTTTCCTTGACTAAGAAAACATAACAAACTATATTTTTAGTAATCGATTATGTTTACTGACCAGAATTCCATGTCCCTTTTCTTAATTTAAAATGCTCACAAAGAGAATGTTTTTTATTCTCTGTTTAAGCCTCCCCTGCTCCAGGCCAAATTAAATTTCACTAGGAGTTGTCATTTGGCTTTTTTTTTTGGTTGCTCTGATTATAGGTGGAATGCCAGAGAAACATTCCTGCTCTTCCCAGGCCCCCTGTTCTGACACAATCCTTACCAACCACTTTGCCAGTGGAGCAGCCACTATAGATGAACTGCTGGCCTGTGCTATGAGTCGGGGAGAAGCGGCAGCGGATGAGGGTATGCAGCACCCCGTGGCCTCGGTAGGTCATCAAGGAGCTGTCCCCTGGGAGCTTCAACTTCCGCCAGGCTGGGTAAGGATTCATGGAAAGCTCTAGATTAGGGAGTCTGCTTCTGGATTGTCCAGTTGTTCTTAGCAAAGACTCAGAGACAATGGTCTCTCTAGTCTTGACTTTTTTTTTTTTTTTTCGGGCAACACTGGGGATTGAACCCAGTGCCTCATACATGCTAGGCAAGTGCTCTACCATTGAGTTATGTCCCCAGCTCTCAAATATTAACTCCTTCCCCACCCAACAGTCAACAGATCAATATACTTTTGTACTGGTTGGCTCTGGGTGATCCTCGTGGGCCAGTGAATCAAGGGTTAATGCCTAGAAAAGGGGGTTGTAATAGGGCTCCGGGACTCCCAGGCTACAGATGAATCCATTGAGCCCATGCCAGACCCTACCAGTGATCAAGTACTTTCATTTCCAACCCAATTCTTAAGTCTACATCTCAGTTCTTTCCATTTTCACCTTTTTTGGGCACCTGCTGCCAACGGTAGTCCCAGTTTTGCTGGGTGGCAGCCTGGCGTGAGGCTTCCATGCCTTCCCGGCTGGAAAAGCGTCGGATATCCCAGAGCTTGATGGTCTGGTCTTTGGAGTTGGAGATGAGATACCGGGCATCACCCTATGAATCCAAAGATAGATCAGAGTTTGCCATGTCACTACCTGTTAATCTAGTTCCCTGCTCTAGCTGAGGGGTAAGAACCTTTCCTTTTCTGATTTTGCTTGCCTCTTTCTTCATCCAGGTGAGTTCATCTTTGATGCTCTGCTTCAGATCTCACCCCCTAGTTAGGGTTTTCCTTTCTTTGTCCAGGGTACTGATTGAATATCCTATTTTATTCTAGATTAGATGTCCTCTACTT